GCCTTTGCCGCCATTTTGTTTGTTTTTCTTCAGTCTCAAGACCTCGTACCCAGATCCTCTCAGTCTTTATCTTGGCCGCCATTTTGAATAAATTTCCACTCTCCGTGGACAAATCAGTCACGTGATTTCTGCTGTGTGCCAGGGTCTCTCTCCTGTCGCCGCCATATTGGAAAGCGAGAAGACCCTGGGGACGAGGTTGGGGTCTTCTCTCCTGCCGCCGCCATATTGGAAAGCGAGAAGACCCTGGGGACGAGGTTGGGAAAGAGGAAAAAGAAAAATTCTCACTTTCGTAAAACGTTCAATGCAATTGACTCTAAAATGTTCGGGAAAATAAAACTGAAGTCCTTGTAATTTTGAAAAGCCTCAAGTTCCCCTAGGATGACTAAACAGATACAAATTTTATAGCCCCCCTTAGAGTGCATTTCTAGAGAATTAAATGTACTGTAGTCTGGATGGCATAAAAAGATTAATTTTTCAATGCATTTAATTTAGGAGGTAATCGTCGTTGGGTGCCCCTGTAAATATGTATACCTTCATGTCTCTCCTGACCTTAAGCTTAAATTAGGTTGGCGTTGCTACACTGACTCTGCGAGCGATGACCGGCTCTCACCACGCCGCCATATTGGCCGGGACACCAGTAGACCCTGGGACGAGGATCCCTTCGTGGTTTATACCACAGGACACCCACACAATCTCAGTAGGTGTATCTAGCCGGATTTTTGATAACGTTATCGCCCAATGGACCTTTTGATTCCAACAGTTTTTTTCGGCCAAAAACTATCTCCAAAGTAGCTATTATAAAAACTAAGAGTGCAGCCATTGCTTTTTTATCTTCTCCTCCTTTCCTTTTCCTTCGTTAGTATGATTTTGGAGCTTCTCGGGCTTGAGAAACACATGCATTTTGACGCTTTTTCGCTCAGATGACTGCAAATTTCGCTAGGCTGGTTTTCAAAAAATCGGCTAGATATAGATTAATGTTAAATAAACAGTGTACTACCTTACCTAATGTATATTGTTGTCTTTTTACCTCAAAAGAGGTATTTTCAGCGACTTTGACTGATTTTGAGTTCGCCTGGATGCCTGCGTAAAAAGCAAAGAAGAAATGAGTTTCCAAATGAGCCTTTTTGCCAAGTTTGTAGTTTGACCTTTAAAGGCAAGATCCTGAATACTCAGTTCATAAAGACACTGACAAAAGATCGGGATCGGGATTATTACAAGAACTTACCGTTTTGAAAATCTTCCGGTTTAGTTGGGTCCGCACTTAACAATTAATGACTTACTTCTGTTAGATTGTTCGCGTTTTATATCACCATATTAAAACCATTTTTTATCCTTCTGTCAGTTTATGATTGTCCTTGTTAAGGTGACTTTTTACTTGGATAGTTACCTCTACAAATCTCTTGCTGTTTTTCCACCAAAACTGCTAACTTTCTTCGTTACGTTCCTTATCACTCAACCATGCACTGAATTTTACTTCTCAAAACTGAGGGAAAAGATACCACTGCCGATTAAATTAAAACACTCTGGTAAGGTTTCAGTGTGCCCTTGGCAGCTCTTTGGTAATTCGTTCAGTCAAGAGAAAGGCAAGAGATGATGATGATGTTATAGCAATAGCTGTAGCACTTATACTTTCAAATCAGTTCCATATTGATTCGCACGTTCTGTGTTGTTGGTACAGTTCTAATGTTATACCACCTTGCAATAGAGCGAACAGTTTTAGCAGCAGTAACTTTCATCAGGTATCGTTAAACACAAGCGATCCGTGATCGTTCAGGAGAAACTAGCTCGAAACTAAGATGCCGTTAAGAAATTTCAAAAATCATTTTGGGGTTATTTGCGCATTGGCGAATATAGATGACTAATTATTCTATTTTGGTTCTCGTAAAAGAATAATGAGAATCTAATGTATTGAAAATACCTGTGAAGTATAATGATTTACATATTTGTTCCTTTTTATTTTAGCGTAACGGATTGCGATTAGAACTACATGCAAATGATAAACGTTAAGAAACACCAACTTGAACGCGTAGTCTTTTGTTCAGTGTTCAAGGCTTTTTTCAAGCATTTTAGGACCCGTCCGTTTATTTTCATATGGAACCGCACATGTTTATTGCATGTCCTAAGTTCATGCTTAATTACTGTACCTCATAATGGTAATCCAATCATACATAATAGTTACCGTATATAGAGAGAATACACAAAAAGCTTGAATTACGTTTTCAATCAAAATGTGAACATGACAAAACGAGCAAGGTCGGCAACATTCGCTAGTAAGTAGCAGTATCGTAGATAATTCATGCTTACTGCAGCAGTATAAATGAAACACAGTCTGTTAAGTAGCCTGTGTAGAAGGTGTCGAATCGAAGGGGATAGGGGATTGGGAGGAAGGGGAAAAGGGAGGGGGATTGGGGAGTTGACTTTTTCATCAGTCGCTGAAAAAACTAGCCGTTGTCGAGAGGTTATTTTTAAAGTTGGGGACACGCTTTCAGTAGTGGCCTACTTACCGTGTGGAGTGGTGGCCGTTAGTTGAGGTTCGACTGTGGTCTCGAGTGGTCGCTTTAGAGCGTGCAAACATCAAATCAGTGTAAGAAGAGAACAGACAGCAATCTGGCCTTTATGTGCGTGCAGATTCGGAGACAAATTTCGCGCTTAGCCTGTGTTTTCTTTATCCCGGGTTTTTAAACAGGACATTCCCAATAGTTAATTTAGCAATACGGTGATACGGAAGAGACATGAACGGTGCCCCTGCAAGAACATTAATTAATTATTTGTAAGATCTTCTATGAGCTTCAATGGTGCTTGAAAGACGTACTACTTTTGCGTCATTCGTTTCACAATTAACCCCAAGGAACTTCATATCCTGAAACATTTCAAAAGAACCAAGAATTATCAAATCATCATTATATTTCTGCTCTGGGTTTGGAACATGGGCATCCAACTACGGTTTCCTCCAAAATACGTTGAAAACACTTTTTAGGCTATCCAGGGCACGTGTTTTCACCAAGCTTTGAAACTATAATCGCTTATGAGAATTGCTTGACATCTTTTCCACAACTCCGGGAGAATTTTTTAAGGCACAAATTAATGACTTTAACTCAAATTGACCTAAAACAGCAATATCCTGGCAACACAGTCCAATCAACCTTATAGGTTCAGTTTCAGAAAGAAATGGTTGTGCGTGAGTGCTGTGTTCTATGGCTAAAAAGTAATACTCGCGGCAAAAGAGAGGTGGCTCTCTTCACTGGTTCGAAGTTATGCATATCCATTGTCTAACAGACACTGATAAAGTTGTAGCCTGCGTTGCAGACACTCTGAACTTTCTATACAAACAATTAAGTGGCAAATGACGATGCGACATTGACTCCTCCCAAGACCGGATTAAGCAATGCTTTCTATCCAGGCTAAGGAATATTTATCTACTTTTCTTATGATACAAGGTTTTTAGATGTGTAAGTATTTTATCTGTTCTAAATTGTAAGAACATTTATCATAAATCTGTGCCCCTGGCCATATCCTCTCTTGACCCTTTCACCCCACCCATCCTTCTCCCGCCAAACACCCCTCCCCCCCATTCAAGTCCTATTCCCACTCGCACATTGCAAACAGAGGTATTTGCCAGAGCTTGTACTTGTGATTGACGGTATATTTTGTATAAGGGCGTCTTCGTAAGTCTATTTTCTCCTTATATGGAAATAAATGAACATTTTTTGTTTTTATACGCTTCTCCAAACAGAAACTCAATATTTATATACTGTATCCTACGTAACCTGCAAGCAGAAGCAGAATTCCCATTTCTAGAAGAAGAATCTCCTCCCATGAAGCTGAGGCACCCAACGAGAATATAGTTCAAAACCACTTAAACATAGCATTTTTAAACGTATTTTAGTATTTAAACGGTAGACATAGGCATATTTTTATCCCCTAAAATTTTTCATCTGTTCGGATTTCCTAGCTGAAAGTCTAGTGATCTGAAAATTATGGGGATTAAAACTTACCTTTTCGAAAATTTCAGCCGGAAAAAAGGCTCCCGAAAATTCTAGGTGACTTTTTTAGGGAAAAAATCCGTTAAAAATGGGTAATTATACCATTTTGAAATATTCGAAAATCCTAGGAGAGACAGGCAAGGAAGAAATTTTACTAATTTTATAAGTGTTCCCAAAAATCGTCTTCTGAACACTGAGATATTTTCCGAAAATTGACGTTGGGTGCCCCTGATATTTTACCAGTCCCATACCAGATGAATACCGATTGCTCGAAAGATGCGATTAATTTTAACCCAAGATTAAGCCAAATTTTATGTAAGGTTTTCTTCTCTAAGAACATGCAACTCGAGCCGTAAACGAAACATTCTTATAATAATCCAGATTTTTTTTATCTGTTCAAAGATTTTAGCATGAGAAACGCGCGCTAAGAGATTTTTAACTGAAACGCTTAGGAAAAATCAACAGTTAGCTAATAAAAATATGGCTTGGGCTTCCGAATTTATGAAGTCAGTAAAGTAATCATAACCGGCGCATTAAGGTCTAGTCCTGCGAACGTATATCCTGAGATCAGGCTCTCTTTGGTTTGGCTTGGAAAATAAATTTTAGCGAGACTCGTAAGAGATCAAGAGAAAATCGGTCTTAAGATGCAAGGACGGTGACGGCAGAGAAAGCGTCGCTTAAATAGTGAATTCGCGGTTTTTCAAGCTTAATCGCGACTATCCAACTAGCTTGTTTGTCTTACTTTGTCCAAGTTCAGGAAGAAAAAGAAAATTTTGTAGTTGCTTCAGTTTATAATTACGTGCTCCATAAAGCATGAAAATAGGCATTTTCACGGCTTGGCGTCATGCACTTGCAAAGTTGTTGTTTTGCTCATTACAATGTAAACCTATTGTTTTTTTGACGTTCTCGTTGCTGTCGCCGTCGTGCTCTTTCCACACGGAGGTCTGGGAATAATTTGTAAACGCTAGCTGTGCTGACAATATATGTCCCCATACATAACGTACTTACCATGATTAGAAGAGTTTTCAAAATGGCGGCCTAACACACTTTACCACACTTCACTGACAGACCCTCCGGTTGTTTTCCCTGAGTTTTACTACAATGAGGTTGTTAAAACCAAGCTGGGTTTCTCATGAAGGTTAGGTTCTCATAGATACAGTAAATTAAGTTATCCCAGTGGAACGTTTTCAGATATCGATTGTGCGCTTGTTGCTCGTGTGCCTACATAAGCCTCAGCTGACATGTGTAAACTCTCAAGTCGAGTGCATGATAAATGTATCTCACTTTTATTTGAAATCTTTATGAAAGTTACTTTAGCTTATTGTTGTTTTTGCATGTGAACATGCAAATAATCACTGCCTCTGTATTTTTCAGTTGTGTAGAAATGAAACATGAAAGTACTGGCCCCAGTTGTTCAAGATTTGGATAGCGCTATCCACCGGATATATCGCCATTCAGTAGACCAGTATCACGAAAGCCATTGTCTTTATCTACTGGATAGTGATTTATCCAGTGGATAGTCCTATCCACCTTTTAAACATCTTTGGCCAGGTGTAAAATGAGTGAAATAGACAGATGTTGGTAATACAACTGCAGAATAGTAACCTGTCACATCAGCTACAAATTTCTGCATAGTAAGTTACCTTAACTGCTTTGTGATCTTGCAAAAACAATAATATGATATGATTATATACAATAATATGGTCAAACCCTGTTAATAAGGACACTGAGGGGGCGTCAGAAAGTTTCAGTATAACCGATTGTCTTTATTAAGAGGGTTGAATTAAAAGAAAATGTGAGGGCTTTCTTTCTGCAGGGCCATGGAAAACTGTCTGTAATAATGAGGTGTCCATGTTATGTGGGTGTCTGTAAAGCGGGGTTCCACTGTAATAATAATGATAATGATGATTGTGCAGTTGCATTCCCAACATCTGTCTATTTGATGATAACAAAAATGATAATGATAACAAAAATAATCATAACTATAACAAAATTCTCAAGCCTGATTGGCTAGCAATTGGACAGTGCAAGAGGACAGTATGCGTCGTGCCTATTGAATAGTACACGCCATCATGCATGCAAGAGAACTCTTGGATTTTTTGTGTTTTTATTTTAAAGAGGGCTAAAAACATCACAAATTTTGTGGTAGTTATGATTAATTGGTAACAGAACTTCATTTCGTCCAATTCTGTCTGTAATCATGCTTGTGATTTAGCCCTGTAAAAATGTGCCGGCAACCGGCGATTTCGCCACCTGCAACAAAATATCTGCCACCTACTTTCCGGTAAAATTCATTGACAACAAAGATGAGGTCTACTAGTTCAAACAGAAAGTAAAAAAAAACAGAAACCGTTTCTTGTAGTGAATCGAGAAGGTCGCAAATATTCAAGGAAATGTACACGAAAGGGAACTTGATTTCACGCTGAGCGGCGGGAATCACTGGGGTCAAGGAACGTCTTGAACATAACCAGGTGAAAATGAGCCACTTTGGTGGTCAGGAGTCAATACTCTTGCAGTTGCTCACCAATTTCTCAAAGCCCTCGAACACACACTCAAAATTTCAGCCCCCCCCCCTCAACATCTTCATTATCTTCATACCCTCTTCTCTATATTAAATGAAGTTTTGGCCTTATCCATGTTTTCTCTGTACAAATATTATAAAAAATGAGCAAAAGCAATCCTAAACAGAAAGACTAACAATGTTTAAAATCAAGTCCGAGTATGCTTTTGTCTATTGATTAAAGACTTTCACAACACTTCATTTCACACACTGTAACTACACTGTCCCTTCAAAACCAAATTAGCACTTCCACAACTACCTCATTGCAATGCCTAAAATCACTTTTGCTTCACAAAGTAATTATTTTTTGTTACTTCATATTAAATTCTACAAGAAACAAGTTTCACTGATTAACAAACTACAGCCATTATCTTGCCAATTTACGTCCAATATAGCTGCACGCCTTCCACTTCACACATCTCAACCAACCGATAGAATATACAATGCTGCGGCACTACTCATACATCCCTAATAATACACATAAAAAACAACTTTACACATGCCCAGTACATCAAGGCCCAAATATATATGCTTCCACAGCATCTTGTTTCTAGTAATATCATTAATGAAAAATAATAATTATTATTAGTAGTAATAGATTTAATTTCTTGGGAAATATAAATTTGCCCTTGCAATTTCAGGTCGACCTCTGTTTGCAATTGACATTCATCCTGATGGATCCCGCTTTGTTATTGGTGGTCAAGGTGAATATTATATAATTTTGCTAGAATGTGTGTCATGGATACATGTACGTGTACAGTAGAAGCTCATGTACATAAGCCACCTTTTTGCTCAGTTTATGCTCAAGTATTAGTTGTTGTGCAACAACCAGAAGAGCAAAGGGGTTCATGATTGATCAGGCTAGCTGATTCAGACACAGTCATGTCTGCACAATTCCAAACAAGACTAGTAACTGGAGTAGCAATGACAGCAGTGATTCACAAGTATTTTATGATCCTCGCTGACTTCATTATACGGTGTGCAAAAATCGAAAGAATTCATAAATTTACTCACTTTTTTTCACTTCGTTTGCAGTCTTATGTAGCGCTGTCATTAAGAGGTGGGAGACAGGGATTTTCACTGACTACTAAGAACGTGGCCCCCAGCTACTTTCATAGGAAAATAGAAGAAAAGTAAAACCAAAAGAAATCCCTAGCTGTTTTATTCCCCACCTACTTGTTTTATTTACCCTGTAACTTGAAATCTTAGTGATGTCCCTGCTTATGCTTAACTATTAAATACATTTTTTCACATTGTGCAGGAGATGACTCGGGAAAGGTCACGATCTGGAACATGGCACCCGTAAAAAATGAAGAGGATGAAATGAACGAGAATGTGCCAAAATTGTTGTGTCAGATGGACAATCATTTTGGTGGGTTTGATGCTATTTTTTATCTTTCAGTCGAAATGTTTTCCTGCTCCTCAGCCAGTATGTTCGAAAGTGATCACATTATTTTAATAATAATGATGATAATAAAAATGATGATGACAATGATGATCATGATCATGATCATGCAATTGGTGACCAGGAAGAAATCTAAACTCTAAACAAGAACAGGGCTGACTTGTTCACCATTGGAGTTTAATTACTACCTCTCTATCCCTTTTTTTAGCCTGTGTTAACAGTGTGCGGTGGTCTTGTGGTGGTAAATACCTTGCTACTGGAGGAGATGACAAACTCATCATGATTTGGCAAATGGCAAGGTATGATGTACGTGACAAAAAAGGGGCATGTAACAGACATCATGTATTTTATTTTTCTCAGCACAAACAATTTTATACAAAGCATAATTAAGTAAAATTAATTTTGAATATAGCTGCAGCGATGATTTAAACAATGTAATCAATAATATTATTTTTTATTTATGATACTTCTTAAAAACTTCTGAATGATAACAATCATTATTCTGAACATTTTGACAAGTTTCTAGTTATACCTAACAGTATCATGACTTACTGACACCAGTTCTACTCTGTCTATTATTGTAACTCTTATTTCCATTAAATTTAGAATAATGATTCATGTTTACTGTGTATTTATCAAGTAATGAATGCCTGCTGGAATTTTGAAGAATGCTAAAAGAATGTCTCAAGTAACTCTAGCTTTTTGAGGAATCTCCAAACTTCACGCTGGAATACTTTAGCGTTATTTGAAAATCTTCTTACACTTAGATTTTATATGTGCAGCCATGTTTTATTTTGTTAAATTTTGTTTCTTTTTTTTTATGATTATTGACCTTTAATACAATGTAGAAACATAAAAATTAATAATTAAGTTTATAAAATTAACATAAAATAAATTATGCCGAGGATAATCTAGTTTCATTTTTGTTGCTAATATGAACAGATATTCTGTTCCTTCTACAACATTTGGTGGAAATAGTGGCAAGTTGAATGTGGAGCAATGGCGATGTGTTCACACACTCAGAGGCCACATTGGAGGTGGGTATAATTAACAATTAACGAATGAGGCTGAGTGTCTTTTGAAGAATTATGGAGATCGAGGAGGGTGTTATGCGTCGAGGCCGTAGCCTGAGGTGGATAACACCCTCCTCGATCTCCATAATTCTTCATATGATACGAAAGCCAAATTCAATAATTGTTTTATTATTCATTCAAAATAATTCCTAGTTTAAAAACATAGCTAAAACAATACACTGTACCTCCATCAATCCACCGATGTTAAGGTCATCTTCGATAGTGCACATTTAGGGTTGTTCAGCTCCGCAAATATTCTCCAAATAGCAGATGTCGCCCTTCGAGTTGTCTTCTTGCTGTTCTTGCCATGTTTTTAGCTATTATTTCGCCTAGTTCTTACTCTTGAAACGAGTGAAATGTCCGTTGTTTCCCAAACGGAAACAACTCAACCTCTTCCTCAGGTCTTTGTGGTTAATGGTGCATTAACCAGCAAAAAAGCTGCATTTTTGACGTCATTACCTCGTTAAACACAAAATTCTTCCAAATCTGGTCATCTTCAACTGGTTATGGTGAATTCTGCGTGTGCTTTTAGCCAATCAGAATCGGGGAACTATTTTGAATGAATAATAATAAATAATTAATCACACAATTCAAGTAGCACTTCAAGAAATAAGTAGGAACCTGTAAATCTGAAACCTGTATTAAGTGGTCACCCTTAAGTCACCCTTAGTTTGACTGTTTAATACGGGTCTGATAAACCTACACGTGTACATTGTATAAAGAGTTATTCAAGAAAATGAAAATGGTGAAAGAGTGAATCTATCCCACGACAAAGTGACTTCAAAGTACTTTTTCTACCTCTTCTTGTGTCAAGAGAAAGGAAGTAAAAGATCACAAACGGTTATGCACAGGTCTATCTGCTGCACTAGTATGGTTCATCTTCAAGTTGTCAAAGTGACAGTTTAATGTAGGCACAAAGACAATTATTGAAAAATAACTTGATGGGACAATGGAAAAGTTGATTGTGACTGTCAAATTGAGCTGACTGCTTTATACAGGTCAGTTTAACAATAACGAAGGCAAAATGATTTCCAGGACTTTGGTAAGTAACCCACTTAATAGAGGTCCGCTTAAAACAGGTTTGACTCTATTATTTCTTTAAATTATTATTGTTACAAATAAAAATTATTATTTTATTGTAGATGTGTTAGACCTTGCCTGGTCACCTGATGACAGCTTCTTGGCCTCTGGTAGTGTTGATAACACAATTACAATATGGAATGGTCAAAGATTTCCAGGTTTGTACTCCCTCTTGAATAATTCTTCACCATGGCTTCTGTAAGCCTTCTTCAAATCCCCCTTTATAAGTATAACAATGCCACAGTACCAGCTGTAAGTGTAAAGACTAGTTCAAAGTGTTCATATGCACGTCTGACTAACCACATTCTTGTTTAATACGAATACATGTACATGAAATAAACTCTAAAAATCAGTTGTTTTGGCTTTCATTGCATGGTAAAATCCAGGAATCTGGGGGGACCATTACAATGTAGTTCAATTTCACAGTGGTCCAAACATTTGCGGTTAAAGAGATCTGGCACAAATTTATGCATATTCTTATTATGGAATATGATCAACTGATTGTACATGTACCTTTATATAGTTGTAAAACATGTTTTTTAATAATGCCTGTAGTACATTGATAATTCCCTCTCCTTCCTCACCGTTTTTTTTTTTATCCTCAGGATATCATCTGTTTTGTGCTGTTTTGTCTTGATGAATAATGTTCAGTTGTATTCAAATATTTTTTCAGATGTGGTGACTGTGTTAAAAAACCATTGTGGAATGGTTAAAGGAATCACGTGGGACCCTGTTGGGAAATATCTGGCCTCTCAATCAGATGACAAATCATTAAGAGTGTGGCGTACATCTGATTGGCAGCAAGAAACTGTGGTAACGGAACCATTCGCTGAATGTAGTGGTACAACTCATGTGCTGCGACTTAGCTGGTCTCCAGATGGACACTATGTTGTTTCCGCTCATGCCATGAATAATTCTGGCCCTGTAGCAAAAATCCTGGAAAGGGATGGCTGGAAGATGAAGATGGATTTCGTTGGGCACAGGAAGGCTATTACTTGTGTGGTATGGTCATAAGATTAGTTTACATGTATATGCAAGTCTTACTGTTAACAATTCGTATTTAAATTAATTGGGGGAGCAAGGGTTGGCACCTTGGTGAGAGCACTCATCTCCCAGCAATGTGGCCCAGTTTCAAATCCTGGCATCGACACCATATGTGGGTAGAATTTGTGGTTGGTTCTCTTCTTTGCTCTGAGAGGTTTTTCTTTGGGTAGTCTGGTTTCCCCCTCTCCTCGAAAACTAACACTTCCAAATTCTACAGTGTATTTGATGTGGAACGCATGGACACATTTCAACAAGTTTTTAAGAACTCAAGTGTTTTGTAGTTAAACAAATCACAAAATTACAAAAGATTGCAACAACCAAAGACAGGGACTAATGCAATTTTCAGGCATTTTCTGCAATATTGTGGGGAAGTGGAGTGGACGCAGTATGACCACTACATGTTCAAGTGAAGAATGTTTACTGTAACTACCTGGATCTTCATCAATCTGTTGTTTTCTCAGTCTGTCATATATGTCCTCTTGTACTGACATGTAATCAGTGTTTAACCTGCCCAAGCCCTATATTACAAGGCAATGATAATGCTAACTGTCTGTTACATATCGTTAACTATTATTAGTCCATACAGTGATGAGTGTATGTGAACTAATAGATAATTCATTTTGTAGTTTAAATTTAAATGTGACTTGTACATTGTACAATAAAGACTAGAATAGATTTTAGAATTACATGTATTTGCACTTAATATTCATAAAAATGTACTGCAATCACATTTTTCAATTAACAGCGATTCAATCCCAAGTTGTTTGTGAAGAAAGTCGGTGAAGATTCCTCAAAACTCAAGGTATGTGGCAAGGATCCGATCTGACCTGGTACTGTAATATTTTATATGTTTTGTGTAAGAGAAGGCATAACCTTGCACAGCAGTCACTATGCGGGCTTCCCACTTAGACCTGTAGCCACTATCAGGTTGTTTCCTGAAATAAATAACAAAGATCTGTAAACAGGTTTAACTATGTAAATAATTATGACATGATGAATATATGAGTTTTATATAATATTATTTGAACTGTGGGATAAAAAAGACATGAAGGCAGACAAGATCATCACAGGTACATATTAAAGTTGCGTAATTAACTGTGATGATATGTTCAGTAAATAATTACATGTATGTCAGCATTTTTGTCAAGTTTCAAGTAGATACATGAATCAGAGCTATTTGAAGTAAGATCCTTTGCAGGCAGTAGCTTGTAATATTATTGTTTTAACTTCAGTTGTTAATGTGAAAATCAGGAAAAAGTACATGTGGTTGAAATCTATTGAAATTAAAGCACTGAAACAGTCACCAGTGACCGAGATGGTCTTAGTCTAGTTACTTCATGCTACCAGTGGATACATGTACGTGTAGCATTTTTACCTCCAGCCTGTACAATGTCTGTGGTTGATACATGTATGTACATGCACATGTACATGTACATGTGTAAAGGTAATTGAACCGAGTGGAATGCAATTTGGTTTAAAATCATACGCATGGTTTTTTGAAATCCGATAAGCTCACTGAGCGAGTGAGATAATCACTAAGTGTGGTTTCAGGCCATTGTACTTCTACATGAGAAATTTTGGCAATTTGATTGGCTTAGAGCAGTGGTATTTCAGCTTAATTTGAAATACCTACATGTGAAAATTACAAAACCATTGCGGGTAGTAGTATAATAGTAGTATAGCAAATGATAGCATGATTTTTACGTGATATTTGGCATAAATACTACTCGTGATGTTTAAAAACTTGTCTCAAATTTCACTCGCCTAACGGCTCCTGAAATTATGCATAACAATTTCGAAATATCACTCGTGGTATTTATGCCAAATATCACTACAAATCATGCTGTTACCTATACAAATTGCACAACACGAAGTTTAACTACCATTTTATTACAGCCACTTTGAAATCTTACAATTAAGTTGCCCAGATACAGGACTTTAGTCACTACCAATATTTTGCTAATCCAGTAGTCGTTTTTTTTTTTTTTAAGTGAAACCGCAAGCGCTTTTACATCTCATTTTGTATGCGAATCAGAAATGATGAAGTTTAGAACAGAATGTGATTTAAATAAAAAAAGGGTGTGATTCGTGAATAAATCACGTAGCTGAGAGCCAATCAGATCGCAAGGATCACCAGTGATTTCAAAACGGATGTCATAAGGGCCTTTATCATTGCCTTACGTTATTTATTGTCTATAAAATAATAGTTACTGTTAATTGTCCCGCAAGTATTATCGTTTTCAGTACAGTGTGACTTACTTTGTATTTATGTGTCCAGCAATACTCCTGCTGTGCAATTGGGAGCAGAGACAGATCCCTTTCAGTATGGGTGAGTTGATATGATGACCACCTTGGAATATCTAGTTTGTTATCCTTATACATAGCTGCGAGTTTTATAAGCAACAACGTTTCTGAGCGACACACGTCAACCGTAAGTGGACTTTTTTTACAATCTTGGGGCATGATTTTGACCAGATTTCCGGGCGAATCGTCTCTTTGAGAGAAAAGACACTTAGGAATTTACTTTTAATAGCGTCAGGGCATATTAAAAGGGAAAAGGACTTACTTTTGGTTGACATACGTCGCCAAAAAAACTCACCAATGTTGTCCCTCCTTGCCTAAGTCCATTAGCGGCACTACAGCAAAAGCTACGTGTATGTTTGTAGCTATATAGTCTACAATGTTACCCGCATATGGAAGGTGGGTGTTATCAGCGGACATCCCCGATTCACAGTTTGACAGACAGTTTGGAAGACCCTTCATAAAAATGAGATAAATAGCAGTGGTCCTAAAATAGTCCCCTGGGGGAAGCCACAACTTAAGCTAAGAATACCGTAAGTTTAAGATCTGTAATGGCGGCAGCAACCCGAACGTCCAAGAAAAAATAAAATAACAAAATCAGTAGGTTTTAATGAGCGTGGCGATAATTTTGCACGCGCATCACACTATTTGGTTCATTTCCTTGTCGTGCCAGCACGACTACGAAGTGAAACCTCTTGATGCGAGGAATTATGGCGGACGCACAAGAAGTACAATTCTTTTTTCTCTTTCTAAACTTTGATATGGTCGTAGTAATTCAATTTCAGGAAAATTCGGCTACATTTGGCAAATTGATTAAAAAATGGTTGGAAAAGTTAACGCGAAATAACTTTTTAAGTAACGTTTTCACTTTCGTTGCCGTTCTGTACCGCTCAGAAGTAAGTCGACAGTCACTCGCGTCTCGATCTTCGATCTTCGAGACTCGATTCTCAATTCTCGAAACTTTCGAGGATAGAGTCTCGCGTCTCGAGAATCGAGTTTCAAGGTTTGCGTCTAGAAAAATTAGGAACTTGTCGTGAGAGCGCACTCTTTTAAAATGTACAGTTAACTTGTTTTCTAAAAATTACCTCTGCATGCATTGGGTGAGACTGGTTCACTTTCGTGGATGGAGGGGCAAGAAAAACGTAACAAAGCACTTTTGTGGGAAAGAAGAGCGTTTATTTTTGCCCGCACTACAGGAGCCAGTAACCGGTTTACAAAAATTCAAATTATGAGAGAATCTCGTTCTGTTACAACGGGAAGTTGTTACTAACGTGTTATTGATTCTTGTTTTTGACAGTTAACTTCATTGAAGAGACCGCTAGTTGTTATGCATGATTTGTTCAACCACTCAATCATGGATGTGTCATGGTGGGTTCCTTAACATTCAATTTTATGCTTGGTTCAATTGAATCAAATATAAATTGATGTTTCTCTATTCGTTGAAGTTTTTCAACAAGCAAAAATAGTTCTTGTACTGAGCATAAAAATGGAATCAGAACGTTCTAAATAAGGTATTTGCGTGGTATTTATACCACCAATATCTGTAACATCAAGTAAATCTTTATGCTTAGTCGTGGGAATTTTCTAAGTGAGCCATATTTAACACAAAAAGAAAGCAACTACAAATTTAAGCAATATTGGAGCTTAGACTATAACGAAAGGAAAGTTGTAGGTCAATGGCATCTAAAACGCTTTCTTTTGTAAAATTTGCATATTATACATTGATGTTTTTATATATAACTAAATAACGTTGTAGGTCAATGGCCACTAAAATTGCATTGATGTTTTTCAGACAAAAACATTCGGTTACTGCAACGCATTTTCACGTTTATCGTAATGTCGGTTTTTAGTGTTGGCTGTGCGTGTTTATCTTTTTCTGGTAACTTATACAACAAACAAAAATGGTTACAAAACGTACGGTAGCTACATGTAGAGTTAGCTTAGTCCAGTTGCTCTGTTTTTCTAGTTTCTATTTGTAGTTTTTTCCCGCTTGTTACCAAGCACGTTGTTGATATCGTCGAACGTTTGCACTGTACATGTATAATGTTTTGTATCAGTCGTTTTTATTTTTAGTGTTGCATTTCGGAATACGCGAAATACGCTATGCTTGAACTCTGTTTCACGGGATTTTCCAGTTTCCTTCCCGTTGTAACAACTATTAATTCCAAACTCCAATTAGATTAGGAAATCCAGAACCACAAGTTTGTCTGTCAACGGAGACTGTTTATTGCTTACTCTAAACTTAGTCGATTTTAATTTTTTTGTATGTAATTTTAACAGGAGCGATTCAGGATTTCAGTTGCTGGTTTGTTCGTGGGATGGTACTGTGGCTTATGCTGATTTCACAGCAGAGGAACTTGGCAGACCAATGTCTGAAGAAGAAAAGGTATATCAAGTATATAACATTTTACATTACGAAATAAAAACTGCAACATGCGTTTGTAACCCGTAAAGCAATGCCAAAGAAATAACTTATAATTAGGTTTTGTAGATTATGGCACAAATAGTTGTAGGTTGGTTTCTTGAAATGCGATGCGTATCTGCATTTTGATCATACACACTCTCATTTAAAGAAACTAGAAAGAATAATTAAGAATAATTACTAGTTTTCTAGGAGCTTCACAATTAGGTCTTTATTGTCCAAGACTTGTCAAATGTTACATCATCAATCATTGCCAGCAGCTGGGAATCAATGCAACGTGGAAATTCTTAAACAGTGAAGTAAGAAAGGAAAGAGTTGATATTTCAACCAGTTTTTTTTCAAAAGACTGGTCACTTTGGTCTACTTATGGTCATGTAGAATATACCCCTTAAACGGAATTTTAACAAAGTGAATGCGAAAGTTGAGGATTAAGTTTTGGGTGTAAAAGGTAACGAACGACACTTGTGAATTTGAACTTCTGCGGTGCAAGCAACGTAAATTTTGTTTCATATTAAAGTTGGTGGAATATGATCGTCCGGGTGAGTTTAGTCCTGAATAGATCTGTTGTTGACAGTGACTGACGTTTTGACAACCTGTGCAGTAGTCATCTTCAGAGTCAAAGGTTGTTATTACATGTGACAACGTCATAACTATGGGTTCAGGTGACTTGGTCCACGAGTCTTCGTGAAATGTTGAAATTTATTGTATTCGCAGGAAAAGTTTCACAAGCAAGTTTATGGTATCAGCATCAGCAGTAGCAAATCGAACATTGCTATCATTGAAAACCCGGAAATGCTGAAGATTCAGCAGAGACACATCATGAAACAACAGACACTTGCTAACACCAGCAAACCCTCCGCACCTCCCCCTCCCTTGGTATCCTCCACAGGAACACCAACAAAACAGGAGTCATCTGCTGTGAATGGTGAGTTTTTAGACAAATCTCAGATACCTGCCTTAAATTGTGATTTGCTCAAAGCAATGCAAGCGCTATTATTGGTGAGAATGGGTTCACTACCTTGTGTAATGCACTGCACGTGTCTTACAAAAGCAATACAGTACGTTTGTGGGTTCCTCGCTTCGTTAAGTTCATTCCCGTGTATTAATCCGCACTCAAGGAAAGTTTGCGTATAGATGTTTTGCCGAGGCCTTCAAACACTAACCTTGTTTTTAAAAATCGTTCATTTCGCGTCCTTGTTTGACACAAGAGACCTTACATTAGATTATTTTAGAAATAAATGTTGGTACCAAAAGTGATTTTTCCTGTAGTCCGCCGTTAAGGCCTGCGTGAACGATCACTGACGCAGCCATCGATGAATCCCTTTTCTACACTTTCCTTGACGAAGAACCAAATAAACAATTCAGTTTTGAAAAACAGAAAAAGAAACTTGACAGCAGTTGCATTTCATTTTGTTATAGCAGCACAAGAACACGGTAAGTTGTTCCTGAAGTATGACCAAAAGGTGGACGAGCAAAAAGCAAAGGCTTAGAAATTTATTTCCAAAAATTTTGTCGTTAGTCGAACACAAGAAATTTCAATCTAGATTTTTACTCGTGCAACTCTGTTAGTTACTCCTAAAATAGTTAATTTGGCGCTAAAACGAAACGTAAGGTCATCGTCTGGCACTCCCTTCCCCACCCTACTGAGTTGAAACCCGAAATGAGCTTCAAAGTAATTCCTTTCGTTTACGTTTTGTTTATAAGGAACAAGTAGTGCAAGTCCCCAAGGTACAAGTTTCTTAACCAGCCCGATAACGAAAAGTCCAACAGATCCTGCTGTAAGTACCTTGGAATATGGAATTCTTGGATTTGTGTTCAAGATCTTTGCCATTGGTTACATTGAATTCTATAATTATGTTCTGTGTATCCATCATTCTCCGTCTGTATGTTTGTGTTCAGTTTCGTGCCTTCATTTCTAATCTCATATCCAGATACAGTTACAGTAATTTTGAATGGAGGATATATCAATAAAGTTTGGGGGTCACTCCTTGTGGTGCGGTTAAGTCTCGTTTCTTCCCCAACTTTTGGCATTGCTTGTGTCTTGCCATCTTATTCATTTGCCTTAATCTTGTCCGATCCAGCCCGTGCGGCGCTGGGGGAGATAAGAAAGGCTCTGCCAATACTCTTGTCCAGTCTTTCATGAGGCTTGTGTTTTGGTAACCTTTTGTCAGGGCTGTGTTTCCCCCCTTCTTATTACACCATCTTGTGTAATTGTTTTATTGCGCTATTGTTGTGTTAACTGGATGTATCTTAAGCGGAATAGTGACATTAACTGGATGTATTTAAGCATGTTTTCCCTGTTAGCAGTAAAGAAGACGTCTTAATGACGAGTCTAGTATTTTAGCTAATGGCATATTCAATAAGTCTCCATCCCCTCCAAAAAAGTCAGGAGAGAGACTCTCGTCTCCCTCCTCGATTTTGTTTGGTTTTGTCTTCCTAACGTTAAGTTCAAGATTTTACACCCACTTTTAAACTGCCTCTACCGAGGGTGTGCTCTAAGATACGGTAAATTGCAGAAAGACGTCGCTTTGAACCTGCTTTATTCAGTGTGTCTGGCATAATTATATTTGTTTTTTATGCGAAAACTAAGAGGCAGCAAAAGTTAGACGCTAGGGACCACCGGGCTTTTCTAGAACACAGCCTTGTCTGCCATTACATTTTTCCGTCTCTCGAGAGTTAACATTTAATTATTATCTTCGTTCTTTTTTCTTATGAAGAATGTCCGGCAAAAACAAGTTGAAACGAGAACGAAGGATGGCCGCCGTCGTATCACCCCCTTGCTGGTTTCATCAATGGAAGTTAGGTAAGAGTGAGCAAGTTTTTTATCGGGATTCACCTCAATTTAACTGGCCCCAACCAGAAATCAATGCAAGTCTGTTGTGTTTCCGAACATGCTAGGGACACAGGTTACTCCGTTGACGGGGCCAGCCAGGAAAACTACCGTCTTTGACGCAAGACCTTCGAGGCCATAAACATTCATGTTCGCCAATTGGCAATGAACCGCTATCAGGGCTACCACTTACCCTGAATTTATGGAACAACAGCAAACAATTCAAAACCATGGTGCGAATAACATTTGAGCGTCAATGGTGAAGGGATCAGGTTGGGTTTCGAAAGCTCTGTGTTACTTGTTGTTGTGAAATTTGTCGGTGTCGAAGAATATTTCTCTGTAACATCATGTCCCAACAGCTGAATCTTTATTCTTTAAATCTTGTTTTATTTTTTTGCTTTGTTGTTTGTTTGTTTACTTGATTTTTGTTGTTGTTGTTGTTTTTGTTTACTTTGGGGTTTAGGAGAATGGAAAGTAGTAAGACCATTGGCTCACTTCTGTAGCATTCATCTCTCTCAGCGGTTTATGTCAAGGGTCATACCAAATAAACGTGCCTGTTTCGCATTCTTGGTAACGCTTACATCATCTTCAAGTTCCACGTATCATCAACGTCTCAAGACGCCTCGCTGTGAATTATAGGACTCGTCAAGAAAATAAAATCGGATATATTTTTTTTACGTTTGTTACTTTCTTCTTTTCACATGGTAACAGTTGTTTATGATTTTGAGCTTTCATAAGTCTGCAATATCTATATAGTTGGGAAACACTAAGTAAAAATTTCTCTCTTCGCCTCGGGCGTCGCTTCTCTTTGCGGGAGGGGATTATCGCGTGCTCGCTGTACTATATTTGGAAAAAGAAAAGGACAATTCGGGCGGCCCGATATTTGTTGTTGTTGTTGTTTTTTTTTTTTCAAAGATGGCGGAGTGCTCGGTCGATAATCGCCTCAGGGGAGAAAATTATACTCGTAGTGTAGGAAACATCCAAGTTTCTCAGTCACTTTGGCAGGCTTTGATTGGTTGACATTAGAATTTTGTTTAAATTTTTTTAGTGATTCACCTGTACCATTTGGAGGGTCATCAGCTGCTGTCTCGCCACCGGCAGGCTCCAATCTGTGTAGTACATCCCAGCCATCCTCTATTCCTACTACATCTCAGGTAACGTACGTTTAGTTGATTAATATGTTTTATGTATACCGTCCATTTACCCTTTAAGGTCATTTCGAGAACGGAGTCTTGATGCCATAGAATCAGGGCATAGTTTTTTGCCAGCTTTTAAAATGCGAGACCGCGTTTGAGAGTAAAATTTTTTCCCTTGAGTATGGGGTGCGAAATGCATAAATTGGCTGTTTGGTGCAACACCACCCACAAGCGAACACTCAGTCATGGTCCCTGCAACACTGTATTACTAACCTCACTTTAAGTAGATACCTGTGCCATTAGTAGATCATCAGCCGCTGTCTATACACCGACAGGTTCCAGCCTGAGTAATATACATCACTGACCGTTTGTTTAGAGTTGTTCCTCTGACAAGTTTTATTTTTTGACGAGTACTCAGTGAGTACTGTTTACCTTCTTAGTTTTGACCCCAGTGACGAGCAGGAGGCAGCGTGACAGAGCGGTTAGAGCGCTGGACTTGCAATGCAGTGCTTCCAAATTCAAGTCCTACCCTCACCGCTAGCTGGATTTGTTCTCGGTCGTTCAGAGTCGGGTGTTTAATTTGAATTTCATCTATCTTATGCTATGTTCACACTATACTCGATGGCTTTTGCGCCGCCTCGAAACCCTACTAGCTAGGGCTTCTGTCTCACACAAGAACGGTGATTTCGGCGCGATTTCTGTAACGGAGCGAAGCTGCGCCGCGCCGATCTCGAAAGCCGGTGGAGCGTCACATATCAGAAGGTGTGCGTCATACTTTGGTGCTGTGATAACTGGCACCTATTCGGACCCTAGTGGAAGAGAATAAGTAGGAAAGAGGACTGAAATTTAGTGCATCAAACTCTCTCGGCTAACCGCGCCGGCACGATGCTCCATGTGTGTGAACGACTTGTGCTGCCCCGTGCCGTTCCTTTTCACACTAGGTATACCAGAACATGACCTTAATTTGCTTTTATATTCACTTAGTGAACACTGTTTTTAGTCCCAAATGGTCGGCTTACAGGAGGTTCGTCTGTACCGTAGAAAAGGAAGTCACCATTCGCCTCTCGTCTCGTCCGCGACGACAATCGCGCTACGAGAATGGCGTAGCGCAACAATCCGTAAAGAAGCAATTTTTGGCATGAATTGTCGACGACCGGCCAGCGCGAAACCAACTATTCTCGCGTAGGAATAGGCAATGCATGCTTGCATGCGTGCATCACAGCTCTTGTTTGATATTATGTTTGTTTATGTGACAGACTCTAGTAGCTTTGGACAACAGAATTGGCGAAAATGCTACAACAGGATTCACGAGCAAGTAAGATTATGCAAACTGAACACTTTGAGCTAAGTTCCCATCCTAAGAAAAAGGCATCTTAAATGCAGTTATCTTTGTTTTCCTGATTAGTGCTATATTTAAAGACTTAATTTGAATCTTAATTGTAGTTTTACTAGAGAGATTAGACACATGCGCTAATATTTCCCGCGAGAACGGTTGGGATGGTCACTTGCCATTCGGAAGGAGGCTCTTTTCAAGGAAACGACCAAAGCGAACACGGGATTTTTTTGGGGGGGACCATTTACTTTATTTTGTTCTTGTCATATAGATCCAATTTTCTATATCACATATTGATATATTAACTAATCGAGGAACGAGACGACACTGGAAAGGCAGGATAAACTGACGGCCAGCGTTAGACGTATGCGTTATGCCCGGTGCTTCATCGCTAATATATCGTCACACTTGCTTATGCATCGGAAAGGTGTTTTTGTAGCATGCATGTATCGTGTCTCTCACTGCATCGTGATCGTTATTATGTTATATTATTATTGCGTTGCTCTACATGTTGTACATGTCAACAGTCGCCCTCTGTATCGTTTTCGCTTTCTTTTCTGGTCTGTTGTTAGAGGCTCGGAAAAGACTCCAGAGAAAGTGGAAATTGCTTCTGTGAAACCTGTCTCAGCCACAATGAAACCCATCACAGCTACAAAACCGGCTTCTGCAACAACAACATCGGCTGCGACCACCACTGCAACATCTATTGCAGTGAAGAGGAAATCAGACGCTCCATCAACACCGCATTCCAAACGTGCAAGGAAGGACGGAAGCACTTCGGGTTGGTAGTCTTTACGTTTCTTTGATTTTGCCGAATGATTTGTCATACAATTCTTAAAAGAACTGCTCTTATAACATTGTTACCTTCTGAAATATCAGATACCACCCACTGGCGGATTACGTTTGTGTTCCGAACATCCCTAGGTGTTAATTAGGTTACTTGAGATCCGACGACGGCAAAGAGAACGGCAAAACAGCAATAGGTTTAGGTTAGCAAAACAACAACTTCGCACGTGCTTCACGCTTTTTTGTATATTTCTCTGCCGTCGTTGCACGACTACAGTGTGAAAATGCCTGATTTGACGTTGTGTGGAGGACGGAAACACAAGACAACAACTTTCTTTTACTTTTCCAGAGCTTTGCTACAGTCCTTTAGAATTCAACTTCAAAAAAATTTGGCAACATTTGACGAATTAAACGAGATACAATAAGCTTCATAAAGTTTAAAGGAGCCAACAAGTCACGTTTTCGTAGCCGTCGCCTTCGACGGATCTTAAGCTCCCTAGTTACCATCTGTGGGCATGTGCCAGAAAGACCCTGTGTGATAGGGAGGGCCCCACGGCTGAATTGCAGGGATTACCAGTCATGGTAGTACGTGATCTAGATAAAGAAGGTGGCGCGTTGTGGACGCTTCTGGAAATCCCAGATATATCCAAGCCCCCATTTCGACTTGATAAGGCGGGGAGTACAGCGATCCTTCGTATTGAAACTAGGTTCTCCTTCAACTGTATTGGTCACTTAGCTCGTAAAAGCTTCAGCTTTTTAATTTTAGGTGATATTAGCCGCAAACAGAATGTGCACTTCTCAGATGTGGAAGTAAATTGAATCTATAACTTAAATGAAGCTTCTGTTTTCTCTGATCGGCCTGTGTACACACCACATATTTTGTATTTATTTTTTATACCCCTTGCTCCTGGACTGTTGAAAACTACTTTTCCGTAAGCGCTAGCACTGCCACTTTAGGGCGTGAGAAAGTCGCAATTCAAGGACATCAACTCCAGGAACAGAATCAAAAACAAAATTGAATTATCCTGGTAGTTTAAAACTAAAAATAAAAGTGCTGAACGATAAGAGCAGTTTGCCAGAAAGAATGTGGGTCACGTCATCCCAAGCGGAGCCTTTTGATATCTTTGTGGCTTGTTCTTAGATTTTCCTCACAAACACCAAACAAGTTTTTAAACTTTAAAAAGTCATTTTGTTGGGTTGTTCTAGCTTTAGTATTCACCAATCCCTGTTATCATCAATTATTCTGTAAATTATTCATTTAACTTTTGTTGCTTGTTTAGGCTCGAAAGGATCCAGTAGCTCCAGCAGTGTGAGTTAATTTTATACATTATTTTATTTGCTTCAAAATAAAGTAAATATTGGGCAATATAACTGGCTTTTGGAGCCGATAAATTGCTTTATCGAGTGAGCAATTATTAGAGACCTTTAGATTAGACACCTTTGATGTGACGATTCAGCTCGTTTTCGAGCAATGCTGCAGGACAAGTTCCACTTTTTTTGCGTGTTTTTCCGTCCCTTAAGACGAGGACGACTACAAGGACTAGATTTTCTCAATACTATTTAATGCGCGCGCGCAAACCAGCGTCATTTTGGCGGGAAAACATGATAGCTGTCGTCATTCTACCACGAGTTTTAGCGAGAACAGAGACCTTTAGATTCAAGGACGAGAACGACTACGAGTACGAGATTTTACTTAAAGTTTTTTCGCTGATTCTCAAATTATAGACACCTCGGAAAGCTTCATTGTACTTCTTTTTCACTAAAAAATTAGCACTGCTATCTTTACTGAAGGAGCTTAAGCCGGCCGCAAAATGATTAATTAAAGCTCTAACACTTTATTACTTGTTTCCGTTACCACGACATTCTCGCTAAAACTCGTAGTAGAATGACGACGGCTATCATGTTTTTACACCAAAATGACGCCGTTTCACGTGCAAACCCTACTTAGTATTGAGAAAATCTCGTACTCGTAGTCGTACTCGTCTCAGAATATAAAGCTCTCTAATGTCTTAGTGGCGGGAACAAGTTATCAAATGTCACTCAGAAGTTTTATAATTTTGCAAACGGGAGAGGGTTTAACCTTCTTCGATAAAAATAAACTATATCTTAAGAGTATTCGAAGAAACTTGGAAGTTAAATCTAGTCATCATCGTAGTTATCCTCGTCCTCGAATCTAAAGGTCTCTATTATATTCGTGACTGCGCGACGCAATCAATGTAATGTGACTGCTCGATGTAATCGTTATGTCAGCCCACAATTGACCTACCCATCGTTGTAGTTCCCATCAGCTTTCTCGGGCTGCCACCCTCGTTTCTCGCGTCTCGCGGCTTCGCCGCTCGATGTTCGCGCGCGCGTGCACTCCCTTCACTAAATATGAAGAAAATGAGAGACTGCTCGCAGTCTACAGTAGAGCATCCAACTAGTGTCTGGAAGGTCGTGGGTCTACAGTAGAGCATCCAACTAGTGTCTGGAAGGTCGTGGGTCTACAGTAGAGCATCCAACTAGTGTCTGGAAGGTCGTGGGTCTACAGTAGAGCATCCAACTAGTGTCTGGAAGGTCGTGGGTCTACAGTAGAGCATCCAACTAGTGTCTAGAAGGTCGTGGGTCTACAGTAGAGCATCCAACTAGTGTCTGGAAGGTCGGGGGTTCAATTCCCAGTTCTTCTCTCCACACATATCATTTCATTTATTGACAACTTTATTGATGGAAAATCGTTTGTGTTTAAAGTCCAAACAGCGCGAAGATAGGACAGATCAGGAGGAAACTACTGATGCTTCTTCGCACATTAGACATTCCGTTGCAATTCCTTATCCTGTACCACAGAAAAACCTTACAGTTCAGGTAAATAAAATCTCAATAACTGTGAAACAATGTTTCGCTGCGGTTAGATTCATCTTAAAAGCGGTTCCTTGAGTCGCAATTGAGAACAATTAATAAATATAACATTTCTCCTTAATATTTATTTTTGGCCGTACTAAACGCATTTTCCATACTTTATCATAGATCAAAGGTTCCGGCGGTGAACCCGGGTTAACCCTGGACTTAGAAAACAACCTGGCAAGCCAAGGTAAACATTGGCGTTTTTGTACTGACTTGATTCTATGCCGGGCCATCAAACGAGGTTAAGTGTTGTGCGCAGTCTAAGCAATGCGTACTAAAACCTATTTGTTGCACATTTTCGATTATCCAAATTTCACAGTCGAATGTTACGTGTATCAGTCACAGATGTCTCCTTTACCATGTTCTTAAGGTGAATTTTTTTTGTGTTGGAAAGACTCGCTAGGATAACCACAAAGCTGAAATGAACTCGACTCCGTAAGCCTGATAGCCGGATCGATTTTTTAAAAAATTGAGCGGAGGTATTGTGGTTGCAATAGAGCAATGTCAGATGTTCCCAGTATTGTATGGTAATGTTCTTAGCAGTTTTAGAAACAGATAACCCATCTAAATAACCAGTGGCCAACGTCGCGATGCCGTGAACGTTATCTTGAGAACTTGTAAAGCTTTGGTTACCTTGATGTAATTTCGAGGGGTTTGAAGGTATTTCCACGTTTAACGTAACTTCCAAGAAACGAGGAAAGAAGTTTAATTTCTTTTGTTAGTGTTCGTTTGTTAATTTTTTTATTTGTAAACAAACACTACGCGTAGTCCCTCTTTCTGTCAAAAACAAGATGATCAATGAACCTGTGATTTTTGTAGGACCGAGAGTACACGTACTGAAGTGCTCTACGGCTGGAAAGCCCCTGTGGGAGTCTGTAGTTATGAGTCCTGGAATAGCATTGGCCGGAAATAGGTAGTGTATTGAACTATTTAAACTGTGCCTTAGTTCATTACTTGTGGTGTTAGTTCCCTTCCTAACCCTTTTTAATCTTTTGTATGTTTTCCTGCCCTTTTTTACCGTTGCCTATTTTCCTGGCCTTTATTACCGTAATGGGGGAAAAGCTGGGGGCTTATAACCTGACTAAAAAAAGTGTTTCAAAACAAGCTACATAGAGGTGCTGAACAAAATACTTTTTGAATTTGATCGCTTTTTTAAGCCTCCATCAAAACGTCGTAAAAAGTCGAATTCATTTCGGAATGGTCACCTGAGCTATTTAAAAATTCAAATGGGAACGATCACTTTTCTCGCGGTGCTAATAGTTTGGGGATTTCACAACTACTTTGTTTTCTGTCATCATCTTATTTAGACAAGTGATCTGCGTGGCTTGTGAGAACAGAAGTATCGATCTCTTTTCATCCTCTGGGCGGAAGTAAGTAGTGTTCATAACTATGTGCTTTCAAACGTGTGACAAGTGGTTTGCAACAGATAGGGAGGTGAGTACCTATTGGGTTAAAGCGCCTTCCACATGGCGTTCGTTGGACTAAACACGCTGACGATAGCAGCTACATTCCGTTTTAGCTTTTTCGATGCTCTGGACGCACTTAAGAGTAGCGAATGGTGTTACTGACTAGGAACCAGTGGTTCATACCGCCATATTACCGCACGTTCTTGATTTTAGAAAGGGTTTGAGCGGTGCGGTGAGGTGAATTTATTTAACCTCGAAACGTAGACCGCTATAAAGTTTGAGTTTATAGGTCATTGGGTACTTACTTTTCATCCTCTTCAACTTACCAACACCTTTGGTTAGGTTTTGCAACAAGCAATGCATGGAAAACAAACCCAAGCATTGAGAAAGGGGTAGAGTGGATGTGTTCGAGACAGTTATGTGATCTCAGTTGTACTCAGTGCTTACGCATTCCTTTGTTAGGGGGAATTGGTAGCACTTCCTCTCTTCTGATCAATTTTGAAGAAGGAGAAATCAATACCAGAAAGCTCAGAAAAACGTTGGAGCTCCAGTTGAGAATCGAACCCCCGACCCTTCGAGTTCTAGACTGGATGCTCTAATCACTGAGCTACTGGGAGCATTATAGAGGGCAGGGTCTTCACATTTAATTTATAAATCTAATTATAATTGCTAAGCTTTGCCAGGTAAAGAACTTAAAGTTGCCTTTATGTTTGTCAATGTAGAATCCTTCCGTCCATGGTCTTGGACTCGCCAGCCTCTATCCTACAGTGCAGCCGTCATAATGTCATGCTTGTCACTTCCGCTGGAGGGGTATATGTTTGGTGAGTACTAAACGAGGCTCTCTTATTGTTAAAAAGAACCTAGCAATGAAAATGCGTTGGATAACTAATTTTGATAACGTTCTGTAAATCCTCAAAGCATACTTATATCAACGGAAACCTTTAAATAAGTCATCAGGTTTTGTGAATGTCGTTAAGGACGTTATCTGTTCCCAAGTTGCGTATGGTCAGAATGGCTGGCAACTTTTCTTGCGGTGTGGTGGGTTCGAATCCATCCGGAAGTCTGGATTTGGCTTTTTCCCATTCTCATGACGTCATGACCATTTCGTATGTCTCGCTTTTTATATATATTTATTAAATTAATTTATTTTTTGTTTATTAAGGACGAACGCTATCTTGTCACGCTCAGTCAATCTAAATATGTGCACTTGTGTAAGCCGAACTTTGCTTAATCCGCGACAGTTTACTGAAATTAGTATTTCTTTCGCAGGGATACGAAACGAGTAATCGCGGTGTTGAAGAATGAGCCGGTCCTGCCACTTTTGTCGGGTTAGTCTGAAAATTCAACACCGCTTAGCATTAATGTCAGCTGGAGCTTTTTTCTTTTCTGGTTGACCATAAATAGCGCTCTCGTTTAACATTTGCTTATTCAGTGTCTGTTCTCTTTGCAGGCCCTGATATCACGATAACCCGAGCCTCGATATCAGACCGAGGATTTCCTATAATAACTCTGTCTAATCACGCTTCTTATTCCTTCGACACGGCTGTCGGAGCCTGGTAAGGGAACGAACTACGTTGGCTTTTAGAATAGACTACCTCTTTTTATTCAGGAACGTACGAGAAGGTAGAAGGGATCTTAAAAAGTAAATTCGCCTTTTTTTTCAATCTTTATCGCCATTATTCCAACTCACATTAATACTTTGTCAAATGTAATTGAACTCTCCCCGAGTTAATTTCCTAACAACCGCATCCAAGGTCATAAAGAGAAAGAAAATTTCGTTGTGATGTCGCTTGTTTACGTCCTCCTAAAACGTAAAATTAAGCATTTTCACATCGCAGTCGTGCAGTGACGGCAAAGAAATGTACATAAAAGAGTGATTCACGTTCAAGGTTGTTATTTTGAAAACCTATTGCTTTTTGACGTCCTCGCTGCCGTCGCCGTCGTCGAATCGTAAAGTCCCCAATGTAAATGAAGTACACAACCGTGGCTTTGCGTTAGTTCAGTTGTTAGAGCGCGCCTCTCACAGGTAGAATAGGATGTGAAGGGTTCGATTCCCGGAAACGGCCCATTTTGTAGGATCTTGTAATAACTCAGGGGAAAAAGTACTGCTTTTGCGTCAGATCTTTGCGTGGCCAGGAATATCTCGCTGTGTTCAAGGGTTGACGTGACAGCATTTTTCTCATAGCGACTTGTTCTAAATTGTTGTTCTTATTAAAAGTCTAAGTACTTGTGTATGGCTGAGTCAACGGAACAGACTACATGTATAAAGTTTAAAAAACGTTTCTCTCTTTTGATTTATTGATTTTTTTTCAGGGTTCAGCTGATTTACTCTGATGATCTCTTAGCTATCAACTCCGACCACCAATCTGTAGCGCCGTCCCAGGATCCCCTGCAGACCAAGGGACCTCTTGCGCAGCTTCAAGGACAAAGTTCAAGGTGTCCAGCCTTACTTTCGGCTCTGCCAGAGTTTATTAATATAGTAATCCTTCCTTCAAGATCTCTTTTGGGATAGACTGCGATCGGTCTCTCTTTTGCTCGAAAATCAGTGAAAGCGCGCGCGGCATCGTGAGTGTGCGAGCGGCGAAACAGTGAGTTATGCGGACTTGCATTATCGCGCCCGAGAGAGACTGCTCGCAGTCTACTTTTGGGAAATGTAAGAAAGTCATTGCTTTGGTTGAGTACTGTGCAATTTGAACATTTCGCAGGTTTGGGCGTCAGTCCTCAAGGCTTTTCCGCTCTAATCCAAGCAGACAACAGTCCTCTACAGCAGTTCACATAGAGGTAGGTTACTTGTCAGCAGCCATGTAGTAGTAGCAATTTTCTTTGGAGCTGCAGTCAGGTGTATTGCGGTTTCTTACAGCGGCTACGTTCTGCGATTTTTTAAAAGTCTGTTATCCTTCGCCTAGGTGGATAATAGTCTGCTCAATCTGCATAATTCTTCACATCATGCTCAGCCTCTTCCAATAGTTACTTATTATATATTAAGCAGCTGCCTAGGAGTAACGGTCACATACACACACAGACGCACCCGTGTTTGTGGTTGGCCAAACTACCCAGCTGTACGTTCCCAACACTTTTCGAAAAATAGCGTGAGTTTTTCACGTTCCACAAAAATCAGTGAAGAGCTGTGAGACGGAGCCTATGGTTTTTCGCTGAAAGGCTCCTACTGAGATAAGCTTTTCCTCTGTACTCAAAAACAAAGGGTACTTTTGCATGGCGAGGCACAGGCGTTAATGTTGGCTGAGAAAAAGTTATTAAGTCGCGTTATCATGCCAAGACAGTGTGGTCTTTTCATTTCTTTATTTTGTCTCTTATAGAACCAGCTGTCGTCTTGCGTTGCACTGGGATCTGGAAAAGAGTATTGCTTCTGGCTCACCACTTACGTACGATATCTCTCTCAAGCAGGTTAATACGTTTTCCTTTCCGAAAATACGTTTATCGAAGATAAGGTCTCCACTTCGATGCTATAATAATGGTATGGGTACAAGAAAAAAGAGTAGATGGGGTTTTGATAGTCAAGAAAGTAAAGTATTTGAAAGGTCTTTTTTTCGTTGCCAGGAATGAGTATCGTAATAGATCGCCAAGATTTTGATAGAAACTTTTTAAATATTTATGAAGGGACGCAAGTCGAAGAGGTTAGGATTTGCGCCAAATGGGTTTTTAATGGGACTTGTGGGCTGAACCAGGCTGGAGAAAACTTAACCTGGTCCAGGCTCCTGGCTAGTCGAGATAAGCGTAAAAAAGCGACTGAAAAGAAAAGTTAAGACTCGGGCGAGAGAGAGCTTGCTCGCAGAATATAGCAGGAACTAAAATGTAGTGCAGTTTTGTTTAAAGCTCTCCTGAATCGTCTCTCTAGAAACCTTTTGGCAGTCTTGAAATTTTACAAGTCACGCAATGTGCATAGCGTGATGTGACGTCCGTGCCTTTGCTGGTTTGTCTGTCAGTGGTTCAGTTTTGTAAGAGACATGTTAAATTCATGCCTTATTTTGTCTCATGTAGGGTTCGAATCACGGTTACGTGAAGTTTGTGAGGAGCTTCTTGGACCACCGCACAGGTATCGTGTTTCTCCTCAATTATTTTTTCTGCCTTGTACTTTGTTCCTTCCTCATGAGAATAATTTCATCGGGATTTGTATTGTGTTCTACGTTGAAAATGGGAACTCCAACTAAACTCAAGCAGAATTTTAGCTAGACTGTAAGAAGTGGAGCCATTCAACTGTTTACTCCGTCTAATTGCAGCACTTCAAGTCGTTCAAAATTTGCGTTTATTCTAGACGCTTTCTTGCAGCTGCAAGACTATTGTTTTTTTTTTCGTGCTTTCTTCTTTGGGGACGCTGGGGGGGTGACAAGTTAATTATAAGAAAAACCTCCCATGACGTAAGCATCGCAGTATCTCCGGATAGAGAAGAGAAGTGTTACATCACAAAAATTCAAATTTGTGAAATTATGGGATTGGATAGAATACTCCGAAAGAACAAGATGAAAAAGCCCCCTTTCCGAAAATCAGCCTTTTAGTGCACTGAAATTGGCGGGGAGATAATTATAAGCACCTTTTATGCTCAGAGGACTCCACACAAATCCTTCTAAATTTGGCTGGGGTCGAAACGTGACGCTCCAGGCTTATTTTTGAAGGATTTATAATAATGGAGTCATTGGAGCATACAAAGCTTTGATCTCCCCAGAAATTTGCACTAACAGGCTGATTTTTGGCAAGTGAGTGTTTTTCATCGTGTTCTTTCTGGATATGCCAACATATCCCATAATTTCACTATTTTTGTGACGCCGTACCTTCTCTTGTCCATTGCTTTACATGATACTGGTTGATTCATCGTTCCATCTGCTCAGGTGTTACTAACATTGTATTACTGAGGAAGGTGGCTATATTTCACTCACTCTACAGATCTGTTGGACCCCAGGACAAAAGCACAAACTGGAACCCCTCCATTCTGGTGAATAAAAATTTCGAAAAATGAAAATAAAAATTATCTTTCATTGCTCTGTTGATAAAACTGTTAAGCGAAAGTACTTACCTTGTGATGTATTTACATTTTAGGGCTACCAGAAAAGGAACCTTCTTCGCGAACTTTTACCTCATATTGGTAAGTATTATTGATGTTTTTTGAGGTTTATTGTATAATTGGTTTCTTCTGAGTGTTCACTTTCATGAGGTATTACTTTACTAGCAGCTAAACACCATTATTTATACAAATGTTCGTTTCTAAAGTGTCCTTCGTTTTGCCAACAAACTCGTGTCTCCGGCGCGAGTTTTTAAGCGCAACCCCCTCCCCCTCCCCCCAAGCGAAATTGCGCTCTGCCGTTGCTGGTCTCGCATATGAAATTTTAGAATTTGTTCATGCTTTATGTGTGTATATCGAGTTATGGATGCACGCGGGAAGTTTGGAGAGCACGAAAGATGCGTAAGAGTTGCTCAAGGCGGAGCAACTCTCCCGACCCAACTGACTCCTCCCGGGTCTCCGTGGATGACGAGTCTATGCCAAATTGTCGTTGTTGATTTTAGTTCTTTTTTTATTTGAAAATATCCCGAGGCAAACTTTTAAACGAATTCTAGCTACTGCCCAACCTGGCGGCTTTTGTTTGAGACTAGCGAGCAGCAGACCTATTTCACTCAGATGGGCTCGCCAGATCTTACTAGGACATTTTTGCCTTGCTTTCATGCGGCTTAAAAGCTCTGTTGACAATTACCTCGCGGGCTCAAAAAAGTGCTCTCTTTTCGCAAGCCTTCGCAACCTTTGCAAATTCTTTGGCCTGTTTTCTCAGTACTTGATAACATGCATTCTGTGATTTCATGGGCAGTCTGTGCATGTTCTCAAGCGTGAGAAATCGAGAAAAGGGCTTGTCGGTGCAAAATCTTGGCGTCGAATAGCATCTTGACGTCTCAGTGCCATCATGGTGAGCATTTTTCGTACCGTTCCTCATGTCAGCGAAAACGTATCTTATACCATCAAATGTCGAATAATATGCGAGTGCAGAATGATATTCAGACACCCGACACTAGACCCAGCCGTACCGAATGTGACTTACATTTTATTTGAACTTCTCAAAGTCAGCGCGCGCATGTAACGTTACGTCGTTGTTTTGACGTTACATTGCGCTTAAGCATCTGCTCGCAGCACTTAACTTTCCTTTAAGAAAAACTAGACTATAGACGCTATAGTAAGTCGTAGCCTTTTAATTTGAATCCACTTTCTGTGGAGAGATTTACATGTGATTTGTTATCATATCGTTTCAGGGACAAACATAC